ATCTAGAATCCTAAAATTTTACTTTTGCACCCATGCCACACTTAATTATTACTTCTATCAAACACTCAGAGCTGGTAATTCATGCTGTAAGATTGAAAACTCTTTTCCATGGACAGAGATCACAGAGCCCCCAGAGACACTGTCTGTGATCTCTGTCCATGGGTTCCTGACCCCTGCCAGGGAGGGAAGCCCTGGATCCCCACAACCTGGCAGCCCAGGGGGGGCAAAAACCACCATTTCCACGCTGGAAATTGCTCTGGGCAATGCTGGTGCCCTGTCTCACCCTCACTGACTGTGTCACCCTTCCCTCCGTGGCAGAGAAGTGCCCCGTGGACAACGCCAAGCTGACGGTGGTGGTGAACAACATCGCGGTGGCCGAGCAGATCGGGGAGCTGTTCATCCACTGCAAGTACGGCTGCCGGCCCGCCGCCAGCAGCAAGCCCACCGCCTTCGAGGTGGACCCCCGTGGCTGCCCCTTCACCATCAAGCTGAGTGCCAGGAAGTGAGTGCTCCTTCCACTGAGCCTCTGCAGGCTGTGCCAGCCCTGCCCCGGGGCCGTGCAGCTCCTGCTCTGTTTGCCTGTGCTAGGGATGGGCAGGGTGGCTTCGGGGGACAGCTCAGATGGGCTGGTGTCAGGGGGAGGATGCTGTTTTCTGCTCCTTGAGGGCCAACACTGGGACAGGGGGTGCATTCCTCACATCTGGGAGGAAACTCCTTGGCTGAGGTCAGGCAGAGAACTTGGGATTCTTTTTGTAAGAGGAATTATCTTCCTTATATCCTATGAATTTTAAATCTACCTCCCTCCCTATCCTAAATGCATTCCCTGTTTGCCCATTGCCTGTTGTTGATGGCTGCCTGAAGGCTCAGCCCATCAGCTGCAGAAGTAGATGTGCCCTGTGAAAATGTGGCCTATTATTACTCTCAATTTTCTGGCCAAATGAGAATTTAAAGCTGGAATTGCAGTCTCAGAGCAGGAGGCTTTGGATCATCTGACAGCCTCACAGGGCTGGTTTGCTCCTCTCCTGAAGGTCTGTGTTGTTCCCAATATTTTTTACTCGTTGCTGATTTTTCCTGCCTTTGCTTCTCTCTGTGACAGGGATCATGAGAGCAGCTGTGATTACAGACCCGTGCGCTGCCCCAACAACCCCAGCTGCCCTCCCCTGCTCAAAATGAACCTGGAGGCTCACCTGAAGGAGTGTGAGCACATCAAGTGTCCCCACTCCAAATACGGGTAAGGAGATGATGTTTTTGGCTGGGGAAGCTGCACTGAGCTCATTACTGAGCTGCTTTTTGGCTGCTGCAGCCTTGGGCTGGCACCGAGGCCCCTGAGCAGCTCTCCCCAGGGCTGTGCCTTGGCCTGAGGCTGAGCTGGGGCTTACAGGGATTGCAGGAGCCCTTGAGCCTCTGGGTGGGAGCAGGCAGCAGTGAGGAGGAGGGTGAGAGCACAGGAAGAACAGCTGGAGGAGAGTCAGAGCATGAAGAGAGGAGGATGAGGACAAGAGTAATTTGAGCACCATGGCTGTGTCCAACCAGGCCTTGTCCCAGGCAAGGGAAGTGCTGATCCACCTCAGAGGGTTCCCTGTCACCTGAGCCCCAGGGCAGCCCCTACTTGGGTTTACTTTTGCAAGAAGGGGGTTCACAGAAAGTTCCAGCAGCACTGGCACAGGGCAGTGGTGGAGTCCCCACCCCAAGGAATTTAAATGCCACGTAGATGTGGCACTTGGGGACGTGAGTTAGTGGTGGCCTTGGGGGAACGAGTGGACTCGATGGCCTTAGAGGCCTTTTCCAACCTCAACAATTCTGTGATTCCATTATCCTAAGCCATGTCTTAGCAGAAGCAGAGCAAGGCAAGTCCTGGCAGAGCAGCCCTGACTCTGTGCCATGCTGCAGGCCCAGGTCAGCATCTGGTGAGGTCACCTGCAGTTTTTTCCACTGGTTTTGTTGGCTTCTGGTGAGCACAACAAACTGATGCCACATTCTGTCTCCTGCTCAAAATCTGCTTTTCCTTGCAGCTTCCCAGACAAACAGTCTAGTTTGGGGCCAGTGCCCTGGCTGAAAAAATGGGAGCTGCTTGGCTTCTCCTGTCTTGCAGTTGCCTCTCCCAGCAGGATCATAAACTCATTAAAATTGGAAAGGACCTCCAAGATGATCAAGCCCACCCTTTGAGGGCTTGTGAACCACATTATCCCTGCTGCTGGCAGGAGGAGCAGGACAGTGGGGACCCACACAGGCCTGGGAGCTCCCTTGAGGAGACAGCTGAGCAAGGAGTCTCCAGGGGAGCCCTGCTCCAGCCAGCATCTGCCTTCCCTTCAGGTGTGCATTCATAGGAAACCAGGACACCTACGAGACTCACCTGGAGAGCTGCAAGTTCGAGGGTCTGAAGGAGTTCCTGCAGCAGACGGACGATCGCTTCCACGAGATGCAGGTGGCAATGGCCCAGAAGGACCAGGAGATCGCCTTCCTGCGCTCCATGCTGGGGAAACTCTCCGAGAAAATCGACCAGCTGGAGAAGAACCTGGAGCTGAAGTTTGGTGAGCGTGCACCACACGGGCTCTGTGGTCAGAGCTGTAGGGACAGGGCAGCTCTCTGGGTTACAGGGTTGCTCTCCCTGCTGATGGCAGCAGCGTGTGGCGGGGCTGGGTGGCAGTGGCTGCCCTCTGCCTGTTCCTGGGGTGCCACCAGTGGCTCTGCAGTGACTGTGGGCCTGTCCCTCTCTTGCAGATGTGCTGGATGAGAACCAGAGCAAGCTGAGCGAGGACCTGATGGAATTCCGCAGGGATGCCTCCATGCTGAACGTGAGGATGGGAGTTACCTGGCTCTGCTCCTAGCTGGGCTTCTTTTGCTCTGGGGAGAGCCTTCTGCTCCAAAGCCTGGGCCTTCTACAGGGGCATTGTCCCCTCCTCCCTGCTTGCAGAAAGCAGGGAGATAAGCAGATCCAAGCAGTCTGGTGAATTGCAGAGTGAGGACAGTATATCCTAAGAGGCATTTCTGGGCCTCTCTGAGCACTGAAGAGTTTAATGCAGGTGTGAGGTGCTGCAGAGCCCGTGGTCTCTGGAGGAGGTGACAGAGGGATGTGGCAGTCACAGTAGAGCAGAGACCTCTGGTCAGAGGACGGGCCCTGTGGGAGTCAAGAAGACAAGAGGGGTTGTAGCAGTGGAGGGGACAGTCCTGAAGCCATGTCCGGGGCAGGCTGGCCTGGATGGCTCCACAGCTCACACAGCTTGTTGTGTTTTTCAGGATGAGCTCTCCCACATCAACGCTCGGCTCAACATGGGCATCCTTGGATGTGAGTATGCCCATTGCCTGGGGCTGGGTGTGGGGGATGCCCAGGGAGCCCTCCTGGCTGCTGTCCCAGCTGTGCAGAGCAGCAGCACTGCTCTCCCTGCCTCACCTGCCTCTCCTTTCTGCAGCCTATGATCCTCAGCAGATCTTCAAGTGCAAGGGCACCTTTGTGGGCCACCAGGGCCCCGTGTGGTGTTTGTGTGTGTACTCCATAGGAGACTTGCTCTTCAGTGGCTCCTCAGACAAAACCATTAAGGTAAGAGCTTCCCTCTTCCATGGACCTCCTGCATTTGCACGTGGAACAGAAGCCGAGTTCATTTGTGGGGTGGGCAGATGTCACTTCATAAAGTTCTCTCCAAAGAATCAAATTATTCTTTGTGATTATAGTTAGACAAAATTCTCTGCAAGGAAACATTATGTGCTGGCGAAATTGAGAGACAGAGATCTTTGCAAGGCCCTGATTAGGATCTCATTCCTGCAGCTGCTGGTTTTGCTTTATGTGGCATTTAGGGTATTCACGACTATTTCAGCTTCTGATTTTATGTTCCTTTGTTATAAAAAGTCATCCTAGAACAAAACATTTGTCCCTGATCCAATGTGTCCTTTCCCTGTTTTATGGCATGTTTGTTTTCCTTTGTCCTGTTTTCAGTAACTCAAACTGACAGCACTGCCCCGGTGCAGCCTCAACAGCCCTTCCCAGTGTCACCAGTGGCTGCTGGTGGCTGCTGGCCAGGCTGGGGACCCCCATGGGCTGCCACAACTAACCCTGCCAGGAGCAGAGCTTTGGTTTAGTTCCCTTGGTTTTAGAGCCACATGGAAGGAAATGGATATTGCTGTACGTTAGGGAAGGAAAGAAGAATTCCTCCCCTGTCCTGGCTGCTCTGGGCACCACACTTGATAGAGCCCTGTGTGCTCAGGGGAAAAGCCTTTGCAGTGGCAGAGGAAGCTGTGCTGTGCCTCTGGAGCCCTGGGATGGGTGGGAAGTGCTAAAAGGAGCCTGAGAGCTGCCCCTTTGTCTCAGAGTGTTGTGTTGGCCTGGGCTGAGGGAGCAGAGCTGGACCAGCTGCTGTCCTGTGGCTCGTTAGCTTCGGCCTGACCCTCTGCAGTCCATTCCTCTGCTAGCCAAGCCTGCAGGCCTGGGGGCTGGCAGCAGTGCCCAGGTGGCAGTGCCCAGGTGACAGTGCCTAGGTGGCAGGCAGTGCCCAGGTGACAGCCAGCCCATTTCCTCCTCTGGGTGCTGCCATCCTGCCCAGGGTCCAATCTCTGCCTCGTGTTTTCTGTTAGGTGTGGGACACCTGTACCACATACAAGTGCCAAAAGACCCTGGAGGGTCATGATGGAATTGTGCTGGCTCTCTGCATCCAGGGGTGAGTGAGGAGGGGCTCCTGTCTTTGGGGAGAGTGGGGACAGCCCTGGGGCCCCTCACAATTCCCACCCTCTGTCCTGCATGTGCCCGATCAGGCATGAGAGGCGTATCTTGGCCTCTTTGCTCTGGAAAGGTGGACAAAGAGTGTGTCTCTCTGGTCTTGCCTGTGTCCTGGTTTCCTCCCTGCACTGTGGGAGTGCAGCTCCTCTCCTCCCAGTGCCAGGGAGGAGCTGGGTGGGACCTGCCGTGGTGCTGTCCCTCGGTGACCCCCTTTGTGTCCCGGTGTCATTGCAGGAACAAGCTGTACAGTGGCTCTGCTGACTGCACCATCATCGTGAGTACCCGTGGGGGCACCCACAGCAGCAGGGATTGCCCCTCCTGTGCCAGGCTGGGCAGCTGATAACCCTCCTGTGCTGGACCCACTCCTGGGCTGGGCTGGGGGCTTTCCTACAGGCTGCATTTCCTCCTCCCAGCTCCTGCCTGGGAGCAGGGGGCTGGTGCTCTGGGCTGGGGCAGGGTGGCCTGCCCAGCCCCTCCTGGGTGCTCTGCTTTGGTGGGCTTGACAGCACTGGACTTGATCTTAGAGGGCTTTTGCCACCTAAACCATTCCATGGTTCTTGTTTGCAGGTCTGGGATATTCAAAACCTGCAGAAGGTGAACACGATCCGAGCGCACGACAATCCTGTTTGCACTTTGGTCTCCTCACACAACATGCTCTTCAGTGGCTCCCTCAAAGCTATCAAGGTGCAGCTCCAGGGCTCCTCAGGGGCTGCTTGGGGACCAGGAGTACAAACTCTCAGGCAGAAGTGTCCAAAGAGGAAGGAAGTGGCATTTTGACCTGTAGGTGACCTTGTTGCTAAGGTCTCCTGAGCCACAGAGCAGCCAGCACTGCAGAGGTTTAGCCCATGCTCTGTGCTCAAGGGAAAGCTGTTCTCTGGCTGCAAAAACACTTATTTCTTCCAGCTCTGTAAACCCGAGGCTGCAGCTGGAGTATCCTGGCACTTCCTGAGCAATGTGTGTCCTCAGGCCCCCAACAGACCTGCCCAGACCATTGGGAATTTTGTCTGGGCTCCAGAACTGGCTGGGGATTCAGGCTGTCTGTTTTGAAACCACCTCCAAAGGATCTTGAGTCTGCATTCCCTACCTAAAACATGCAGAAATCAGGAACAGCTTTTCAGGCTGCCCTTTAAAGCCTTGGCTAGATTCCTGTGGTTCTGCTTCCAGCTCCTGGTGAGACAGCTTATGGGCCCGTCCATCTGTAAGAGGACTGTGCTCTTTTCTTTATCTGGGGCCTGGAGTGGTTCAGCTCTGGAGAGAGCTCTAGGCTGGAGCAGCCACACAGCACAAGGAGAATTTGGGGCCTTTTGGGTTTGTCGTCCCTGGCCACTACCTGCCAATGATCCAGGCAGGCCCAGAGTGAGTGGGGGGAGTGAGATCTGCCAGTCCCTGTGTGCCGGGGGTGCCAGGGATGGGAGAGGAGCTTTGTGGGAGTGGAAGTGCAGGGCAGCTCCTTGCTGCAGCTGTGGTTTAGATTTTGCAGCCCGTGGCTCTGCTAGGGAAGGGTCTCTGCCAGCGGTAATGCAGGCTCCAGGCTGGCTCCCTCAGGGAATGTGCTTCCTCAGCAGTTATTTACTGGGTTTTATCAGCAAGTCAGTGGGATCAGGCAGTTCCCATCAGGCAGGAGAGCTGGCACAAGGATCCCCACAAGAGCTGTGAGGGCCTTGGGCAGGTGGGCAGGCACTGCTGTCCGTGTCCTGCCCAGCCCCACTGAGATTCCTCCCCCTGTGTGTGTCCTTGCTTTCCACAGGTGTGGGATATTGTGGGTACTGAGCTCAAGCTGAAGAAGGAGCTGACAGGTCTCAACCACTGGGTTCGAGCACTGGTGGCTTCCCAGAATTATCTCTACAGTGGATCTTACCAGACCATCAAGGTGGGTCCCTGGCACTGGTGACACCCCAAGCCCCCTTCTCCCTGTTCCTCTCTGTGCTCTGCAGCTGGGACGTGAGAGCACTGCTGACACATGAGAGCACTGCTGACACGTGGGGTTTTCCTGTGCTGATTCCATCCCTGCAGGCTGGGCCTTGGGAGCTGCTGGGGAGGCTCCCTGGGACAAACGGGGCCTCAGGCACGGCGCCTTCAGCCTTATCTGCACTGACACTCCTGCTGATAACAGGGGAAGGTCACTGCCTGGCTGCAGAGCTACCATAAATCCCTGTGAGGGTTCCCAGTGCCCTCCCTCCTCTGTGCTGGCTCAGGTTTTGATTAATAGGTCACCTCTCAGGGGTGAACAGTCTGGGGGACACAGGAAAATTGGAAGTTGCCCTTCTCAGTGTTAGTGAATCTCTGTTAATTGGTCTGCGTTGGTTTTTAGTGCTGTCAGGGACTGGGCTGTGTGTGTGCATGTGTGCAGTCACACACAAAGGGTGTGAAGTCTCCACACAACGTTTCCAACCTGGATATTTAAAGTTGGGCAGCTAAATAAGATAACAGGGATTTGTTCTTCATTGCTGAACATTCCCAGCTGGATAGGTTTGTCCCCAAAGGTGTGATGTGGGCACACGGGGAGCCAGGCCGACTCTGTGCGTGGCAGAATGGCTGCAAGGGATCTCCCCTGTGGAGAAGGGTCTCATCCTGCCTCTGCTCGATCTCTCTCAGATCTGGGACATCCGGAACCTGGAGTGTGTGCACGTGCTGCAGACGTCGGGAGGCAGCGTGTACTCCATCGCCGTGACCAACCACCACATCGTGTGCGGCACCTACGAGAACCTCATCCACGTATGGAGCAGCTGGCATGGGCTGCTGGGAGCAGCAGGAATGGGGACGGGGGCGTGGGGGTGGGCACCTGCCTCTGGCTGTGCTCTCGGGCACAGCACCTGGCTCTGGCTGTCCCCTGGGCACAGCACCCAGCTCTGGCTGTCCCCTGGGCACAGCACCTGCCTCTGGCTGTCCCCTGGGCACAGCACCTGCCTCTGGCTGTGCTCTCGGGCACAGCACCCAGCTCTGGCTGTCCCCTGGGCACAGCACCTGCCTCTGGCTGTCCCCTGGGCACAGCACCTGCATCTGGCTGTCCCTCGGGCACAGCACCCAGATCTGGCCGTCCCCTGGGCACAGCACCTGCCTCTGGTTGTCCCTTGAGTACAGCACCTGCCTCTGGCTGTCCCCTGGGCACAGCACCTGGTTCTGGCTGTCCCCTGGGCACAGCATCTGGCTCTGGCTGTCCCTCGGGCACAGCACCCAACTCTGGCTGCCCCTTGGCTCTGGCTGTCCCTCGGGTACAGCACCTGCCTCTGGCTGCCCCTTGGCTCTGGCTGCCCCTTGGCTCTGGCTGCCCCTTGGCTCTGGCTGCCCCTTGGCTCTGGCTGTCCCTTGGCTCTGGCTGTCCCTTGGTTCTGGCTGTCCCCTCTGGCTGTCCCTCGGGCACAGCACTCACCTGTGCTGTGCGTGGAGTCAGGAGCAGCTCCTGGAGGGGATGGGGGTGGCCTCAGTGCAGTGCCCAAGCCCGGCTGTGCCCCGCAGGTGTGGGACATCGAGAGCAAGGAGCAGGTCCGCACGCTGACCGGGCACGTGGGGACAGTCTACGCCCTGGCCGTCATCTCCACGCCCGATCAAACCAAAGTCTTCAGCGCCTCCTACGACCGCTCGCTCAGGGTGCGTGTGGGGACCCGGCGCGTGGGACAGTGCGGGGGATCCCCAGCCCTGCGTGTCACCCGTGTCACCCCCGGTGCTCCCCGGGCCGGGCTCACGCTCCCCGTGTCCCCGCAGGTGTGGAGCATGGACAACATGATCTGCACCCAGACCCTGCTGCGCCACCAGGGCAGCGTCACCGCCCTGGCCGTGTCCCGCGGCCGCCTCTTCTCCGGCGCCGTGGACAGCACTGTCAAGGTGGGTTTGCTCAGGCTTCTCCTGCCTGGTTTGGGCTCCAGTGCTGGAATTAGGGCGTTAGATGAGTTAGGAGTCAGAGTGACAGGAGGGTGGAGCCAGGTGAGGGTTGAGCTCTGCTCCCAGGGAACAAGTGGCCAGACAATGGGACACAGCCTCAAACTGGGCCAGGGGAGGTTCAGGTTGGACGTCAGAAAAAATTTCTTCATGGAATGGGTTGCTAAGGAAGGGGCTGTCTAGGGAGGTGTGGTGGACTCCTCATCCCTGGAGGTGTCCAGGAAATGACTGGATGTGGCACTTGGTGATGTGGGCTGGGTGATCAGTCACAGGTTGGATTAGATCATCTTGGAGGTCTTTTCCAACTTCAATAACTCTGGGATTCTTTGAAACAAGGGGATGGTTCCCCACGGGCAGGAGGTTTCCCTCCTGGCAGTGTTGTGGATTCTGGCAGTGCAGAGGGAAGCTGTGTGGGGGATGAGGAGAAGCCCACGGGGCTGCTCAGGAGTCACTGCCTGCGGTGCCGTTGTCTGTCTGCAGGTCTGGACGTGCTAACGAGAGCGCCACACGAGTCCTGCACACTGAAAGACCAAAAACTCTCCCTTCCATCGGCCTGTGGGTGACCACACCACTGAAACGACTGCTGCAGCTCCTCCTGCACCGACCACTGCCTGCTGCTGCTGCCCCTCGGCCGGCGGCTCTCCGGACGGCTCTGCCCCACGGACGCTCCAGGTGTTCCCTCAGATCTGCCCCATGATTGGAAAAGAGGAAGCAGTGCCAGAGCCCTCCTCTGCCTGTGCCCCCCCAGCTGGGGACACCCCCAGGCTGGGGCTGGGGTGACACTGGGCTTTGGCCAGCGCCAGGACTGGACAGATCCGTGTGTCCTGGTGGGGACACGCTGGGCCCTGTCCGTGGCTGGCCCCTGTCCGTGGCAGGACTGAGCTTTAGGCCGTACCCTGGGTGGGCACCCGACCCCTTTCTGTCTCTACTATTTAATTTTACTGCCAAGGCGCCGGGCCGATCCATCTGGGAAGAGATGTTTCCTTGAGTAGCCAGGTACGATTTTTATGCCACAGCTAGTTCTCAAATCAAGTTCCACAAACCCATTGTTCACCACCCTGTAATAATGGTCTCCACATTAAAGACAAGAAGCCTCCGTTGCATTTTTACTCACATTTTCTACTGTTTTTAAGATTGTAATATAGATTTGATGATTTCTTCATTGACAATAAAAGCAGAAAGAGTTGTTCCTGCCCGGTGTGAGTTATTGCATGGAGCCAGCAGCCAGCACTGGCCCCGTGGGGTGAAAATTGAAGTGCCTGGGCCCTACACGCCACAGGGGACAGGTCCCAGCCAGGCCCCAGCACCCCACAGAAGCACCCAGGGGTGCCCTCAGACGGTGCAGCACAAACACTCGTCACACCACAAGGACTCGGGAGGGCTTGGGGACACAAACAGTGGTGGCAGCCCGGCAAGGGTTTTATTTTTTTTATTTTTGTTTAAATATTTGTTGCCAGACTTGGTATAGGAGCAAACGTCTTCACAGCACCACGAGCCATCTACAATTCAGAATAGGAAGAATAAAGACGAGTAGAGGTGAAATCTAAGCACAGAAGAGCAGGGAGCAGCACCAAGATGCAGAGCTGGACAGATGGGATACGATACAGAGTCCATAACTTAATCATAAAAAATATATATATGTATATATCCATCATGTAGAACTTTATGGATTTTTTTTTTTAGATACATATTTTTTTTCTTTTCAACAGATATTTTCAGGCGGGTGATTTATTTTTTTAATTATTTTTAAAGTCTTTTTTTTGTGTGTGTTTTGTTTTTTTTTTTTTTTTTTTTTAAAAAATTTTTAAGTTTTTTTTTTTTTTTTTTTTTTTTTTTTTTTTTTTTTTTTTCAAAAGAAATTTCAAAGTTGTGCCAAACACATCTGGATCAGCGACCACAACGGGAGAGACGGGGGGAGACAGGGCAGGGAGGGAGAGGGGAAGGAGGCAGAGACCACTCCACGTCTCGAGAGGAAGAAAGGAACAGCAACACTTTTGTTTGGAAACCACAAGCAAAAAATGCATTCATCAGGACTCAAGCGACTGAACCAGACTCCAACTCCAGTTTGTACAGGAATATACAGCGGTGCCTCCCGCGGGACACCGGGCACACGCACCCCGCGTGCACACCCACGCACACCCACGCACACCCAGACACAGACCGACGACAAAAGCAACAAAAAGGAACTAAACCCAACGCTGAAGACACTCCAAAAGAAATGAAACACCTCCAGTGTGAGAATTAACAAAAACCTCCATAAAACAAGGCACATCCTTTGAGTTCATAACGGTGGAAAAAGAAAGACGCGACACTGAATCCCAACGGAAAACCCGACCAGAACCGCTCGCACGTACCTTCCACCCAGAGAAAAGGTAAATATTGTGCTACTCTTAAATGAGTTTGCCACAAGACACACAGCTTAGTATAATCTAATAGTTTTTCTCAAGCTAAAATCCAGTTTTCTCTTGATTTCTTTTAAACTGCTTTATATATAATTGCTAATATTTTTAAATCTTTTAAATATATATTTGTTAAAGTTTATTTCTTTTTTATTATTTTGGGGTTGGGGGAAATCTGCTTTATATCTTTTTTTATTTTTTTTTCCCCCCTCCAATAAATTAATACTTTTTTTATAGCTTATCACCGTCTTGTCCCGGGGCGGGGAGGGGCTGGGCAGGGGCACGTCCCGCTGCCCCCAGGGCCACCGCCAGCCTTGCCCGCCCCCGCCAACGCCGACCGAGAAAGAAAACAAAGTTTAAAAATCAAAATTAAAAACGGAGCAAAGAAACCCAAGTGCATTTGCCCGCCCGGCCCCGCCACCAGCAAACGGCATCGGTGACACGCGGCTGGCGGAGCCACCGCGCCGGGCAGGGCTTGTGCTACATTCGGGTGGCGGTGACCCGCGGCACCGGGGCTGGCAGGGCCACCGGACGGGTCAGTGGGAGCCCCCCGGAGCCCCGCTTCGGTCCAGAGCGTGTTGCTTTGTTTCTTCTGTTGGGTTTTGTTTCTGTGGTTTTTGTTTTTGCTTTTTTTGTTGTTGTTGTTTTTTGTTGGTTTTTTTTTTTTTGCTTCTGCAAAAGGGAGTCCTGCCGGAGCCGGCGCCGAGTCCGTGAGCACAATCCTGAGGTATCTTCTTCTTTGTGCAAACCCCGAGGGACGGGATGTCCGGGAGGGGACGGCTGTACAAAGGGGACGGGGGGAGGGCGGCGGGGCCGGGGGGTCGTGGATCGTTGTGCCCTTGTGCCCACGTAAGCCCTGAGGTTCTCGGGGCCCTGGCGCCCCTCACTCCAGCATGGCATCCAGCTGGTCCGCCAGGTCGTCGAACATGCTGCCGATGTCGTCCAGGATGCTCACGGTGCTCTTCGACTCCACGGCCGAGCTGGGGGGTGACAGAGACGGGTGAGGGCAGGCAGGGACAGGGACACTGTCCCATGGCACGGCCCTCCTGCCCTTTTGCCCTGCAGTGCCCAGCACTGTGTCCCCAGTGCCGTGGCAGTGTTCTGGCTCCACGTCCCCAGCGTCCCCTCTCCAAAACAAGCCCCAGGGCACCCACATGCCTAGGTCCCCCTGCCCATGCTGCTCCAGCAAGATGTCCTTCAGTGTCACCTCCCCAGGGCGGCTCCAACCAGGGTCCCCCAGCACCATCCCACTCCCACCGTGGTGTCACAGCCCGACCCCTGCACGGTCCTTACGGCCTCCTGTGCTCGGTGGCACCCCACACCGTCCCCGTGGCCCGCCACCCACCCCTGCGCCCCCTTACTCTGCCTGACTGTCCTCCTGCTTGATCTTCTCCTCCACCGCCTGCAGCGCGGCGGCCAGGGACGCGCTCGTCTCCTCCAGCTTCTGCTGCGCCAGCTCGGGGCCGCCGCTGTCGACGGACGGGCTGGCGATGGTGGAGCGCGGCGGCTTCACCGGCACCTGCTGGGGCTGAGCACCGGGCGACAGGGGCTTGGCGGGGCTGGAGCAGAGCGAGGGCGGCGTGCTGGAGGGCTTGGCCGCGGGGCTCAGCTGCCGGGCTGGCGACGGGGCCGGCGTGGAGCTGGCGCTCACCGACTGGATGGCGGCGTGGGGCTTGGGGGGCTTGGGCGCCGTGGGGGGCGGCGTGGGCTTGGGGGACACCGGGGGCGGCGTGCCATGGACCCGCTTCACCTCTGCGGAGAGAAGGGAGAGGGGCAGGAGGGCGGCGGGGCCGGCTGGGACCCCCGGCGTCCGCCCCGCGGAGCGCCCGTCGCGGGGGGCTGGCGGGCACCTACCTGGGCTGCCGGGGCTTGGGATGGGCACCTTTTTGGGGACGGGCACCGGCGGCCCAGGCATCTTCTGAGGCGGCTGCGTCAGCACAGGCTTGGGGGACACCGGCGGCTTGAAGGGTTTCTTGGGCTCGGCGGGCGGCGGGACGAACTCGGGGCCGTCGGGGCGGGCGGCGGGCGGCGGCGTGGGCGGCGGCTCGGCCCCGCTCAGCTCCGAGGCCGGCCGCCGCTTCACGGTGCCGGTGCCGTTCTGGTACACGGCCAGCGTGGGCGGCTCCAGCGCCGGCTCCTTGTCCTTGGCTTTGGGCCGGCGCTTGACGGTGTCGGACTCGGTGAGGACGAAGCGGACGCCGTCCTGCTGGCTCTGCCTGGCCCGGATCCGCCGCTTGAGCGTGGCGCTGGCCTCCACCTTGGCCAGGTCCCCGTGACGGTGGGCCGGGGACAGCCCCTCGCCCGTCTCCCCGCGGGCCGGCCCCAGGGGCCGCGGCCGCTGCTTGATGGTGAGGGTGCCGTCCTCGGCGAAGGGGATGCCGTCGGGGGAGCCGCCGCGTTCCACCCGCAGCCGCTCGCCGGGGCCGTCGGCGGCCGCCTCCGAGCGCACGCTGTCGGCGCGCTCGCGGCGGGCGGCCGCCACCAGCCCGGTGACGGGGCCGCTGATGGTCCGCCGCCGGTTCACCACCTCCCCGTCCAGCCCGATGGCCTCCTTGTGCTTGACGGTGGCCAGGACGGTGGCCACGCGGGCGCGGTCGGGGCTGCCCGGGGGCGGGCCGGGCTGCAGGTAGTAGCCCTCGGGCGCCTTGGCCGGCGCCGGCCCGGCTGCCACGTGCGGCTTCTGCAGCGCCAGCGCCCGGGCGCCGCCGCCGATGGAGGACATCTCCAGCATGGCCGCGATGCTGCGCACGCTGCCGGCGCTGCCCGTGTCCACGCTGCCGCCCAGGTCGCTCGCCCGCCGCTGCTCCCGGCGGCCCTCGCCCTCGGCGCTCGGGGCTCCGACGGCCGCCTCGCCCTCACCCTCCTTGGGGAAGTCCTCGGCCATGCCGGCGCTGGAGATGGCGGAGCTGGAGCGCTTGGGAGGGGGCGGCGGCGGTCCCTTCTTCTTGGGGCGGACGGCGAAGGACTGGCTGCGGTTGACGTTCTTGTCGCCGCCGGCGGGTGCCCGCACCGAGTGGCTGCGGCCCACGCGGCGCTGGACGGTGGCGTAGGGCCCCGCGTCCGGCACCAGCAGCTCGTCCCGCTCCTGCTCGCTGTCCGAGGCGGCGTAGCGGTTCAGGCTGTGCGCCCGCTTCTTCGGCCTGCCCGGCTCCTCCTCGCCCTCGCCCGCCGGCGGCAGGCACAGCACGGGCACCGAGACGGGCAGGACGGGCACCCCCGGCGGCGCCGCCTCGCCCTCGGCGGGCTGCGGCAGGACGTAGGCGAAGCCGCGGTGCGTGGGCGACTGGGGCAGGGAGCGCGGCGATGCCGGGCGCTCGCCGGGCGGCAGCAGCTGCGGGGTGGGCTTCACCTTGGCGGTGGCGTGAGGGGCCGCCGGGCCTTGTGGGGACGAGGGTCGTGCCTTGCCGGGGGTCTGCGGCGGCGTCAGCTGCCCGGCGGAGGCCGCGAAGGGCTGCCGGGGCTTGCCGGGCACCGGCGGCACGCTGGCGCGCTTCACGGGGTGGCCGTGCCGGGGCGGGCGGCTCTCCTTGGGCGGCGCCGGGGGGCTCTCCCCGGCCCCCTCGGCCAGGTACTCCTGGCTCTTGGAGATGGCGGCGGCGGGGGCGCCCCGCGGGCCGTCCCCCAGCAGCTCCTGCGAGCTGCTCATCAGCCGGGCGCGGCCGCCCAGCCCCGGCGGCGAGCGGTAACCGGGGGCCGCGGGGTTCGTCGCCTTCTCGGGGGGCTCCTCGGGGCCTTCCCCCGTCATGGCCACCTGCAGCTCGCTGCTGAGCTCGCTGTCCTGGAAGGTGGTCATC